ATGAAGTAAACATAGTCAAAAAAGGTGACATAAGTATTGTAAAGGGAATCTTAGACTAAAATTCTGGGTGGGGGTACATTTTATTCTAAGTTTCCCTTTACAATACTTATGTCACCTTTTTTGACTATGTTTACTTCGTCATTCTACACTTTGTACCTATTATTATTATTTGTCTCTTTTTCTTACTATTGTCATTATTCTAACAACTTCATTTTACTGTAATTTTTATATTTCTCATACCTTATTATCTAGTTCTTTTCTTAGCCCTGATGATGGCCTGAACTTCAGGTCGAAACGTCGGCATATGCAAAAATAAATATTATTATTTATTTGTGCCTTCTTCTTTGACTGACCACCCCAACTATTCTTCTCTTCATTATCCACGACAGTCAACCATTCACCAATTACAAAATAATAATTCATCACTATATGAAACCAATAACTTTTCTAAGGAATAACTTAAATAAGTGCAGCGGTACACAGGTGGGACTACACTGAAGGCAAGATCCAGTGTTTGAACATGCACAGACAGGTTGAGTCTAATGTTCAGAGGAGAGGATTTACATGAAAATAAAATAATATCATCGTTTAAATTATAATCAATAATTATGCGAATATAGTGCAAGCGTACATTAAGAAAAGATTCATTTTGTGACAGAGTTTATTTATCTAAAATGTTATCAATATCTTATTATAAATAGCAAAGGGACTTTTCCGTTCATTTATCAGACAGTTTAAAGCTCTTATTAATTAAGAGATGCAATAAATTTTGTTAATAGGGAATAACTTTAATAATCGTCACAAAATGCATCGGTGAAATCATATGGATAACTTTTTGTAAATTTTACTTTTATTTATTAACTGAGTATTACAAAAATCTGTCACTTGGACATTAGTTATAGAGATGCGTAAAAAAAATAATAATAAAATAAAATAAATGTTTTCTTTCATTTTATTCTTCTAAGGAATAATTTTAATAATTGTTGTGTTTCGTACAATTAGGTGTTTTGTATAAGTAAGTGTATCGGTACAATCAAAGTTCTAAGTTGTGAGTTTATATGACAGTTAAATAGTTTCATAATGTACATTATAATCGATGAATATACAGAGAATAATGGATTCTTACATTAACAATCTACTGATTTAACTTAAAATATTTATTTTTTTAAAAATTAAATCGCTACATAACAGGCACACATATACATAATCGCAGGAACCAACCCACAAAATATTATTATAATAATCTCGATGTTACCCTCTTTAATCGTGTATTTCATGTATCGTGTATTTAAATTCAATAAATAATTAATAGTCACCATAGGTTACGCGTGGTTCACAATCACTTCCGTCACACTTGTTCATGTAACGTCTAAAACAATCTTTCGGATAAACCTGGATACATTCGCATGCTATGAACAAGTGTGACCAAAGTGAATACATTATAATCAATGAATATACAGAAAATAATGGATTCTTACATTAACAATCTACTGATTTAACTGGAAATATACATATATTTAAAAATCAAATCACTACATGCCTTATTATAAATTGCAATGAAACTCCTCTATTCGCTTCTCATATGGTTCAAGAACATAATTCATGGCTATAATCTTCTTTTATAAGAAATAACTTTAATAAATGTGATGTGCATTGGTACGGAGTTGAGACTAGACTGAAGGAGAAGTACAACGATTGAACTTGCACAAACAGGTGGAGTCTAAAGTTCAAAGTAGTGGGTAAATAAAATTAAATAATTTTTAAATAATTAAGAACCAATTAATGTAAGTGATAATATTTATTAAATTAAAAATCATGTCATAACCATATTTTAAATTGCAAAGAAACTGTATCGTGTATTTTCACGTAGTTTTAAATATTATTTCATTAGAAGATGCAATAAATTTCTTTTATGAGAAAAAACTCCGAAATAAAAAATATATAATTTTTTTTAATCACTACAATGAAAATAAACAACGCGGTTACTTTTCAAGAAGCCTGAAGAAATTAAAAGCTGTTTTTTTCTGAAGAGGTTTTTTTTCTTTAAAAAAAAAGGCAGGCCTAACTTAGTTTTTAAAGTTTATTAAAAAGTTAACGCACACTTTCAGCCCATTTTTTTTTTGTTCCGTTATCTCCAAGAGCTGTCGGGTCGCTAACAAAATTTTAGTAACTAAGGTGACACAACCCCCTTTTATCATCTTAATCAGATAAAAATTCGTTTTGTCTATTTACACCTTTCTCCTTGAACGCCCCCTAGCGGGCCTCTGATTAAAGTGTAATCTGTAAAGCAATAGTTTAACTGAGCATAAATAAAATTAAAAACTTCTAGAATAAGAAACTCAGACATAAAGCTTTCTATTAAGATCTAGAACAAAGGTAATCTGCCAGTATCAGAGGTAAACCATACTTCAAAATATGAGAGGAAAATTTTTTAAATACAAAATAAAATACATATTTTTTATTTTCCATTTTTAGAAGTCAATTATAAAATAAATTGTTTGCAACTGTATACTCTTTTTTTTCTCTCTTTTTTTTTTTTTAAAAAGTATTTGTAGTTTTCTTTCCAAAATACCAAAAAAATAAAATTCTGTTGTCATTGTGAATTTAAAAAAAACATTATTTTAAATTCACGAAATAAATTACCGAATTTTGTAGTTTCCTTGAAGTGTTGTAGCAAAACACGAAAAGTTTGTAGTAACTTTGCACGAGAATACTTCTTTGTAAAAAATCCAGTTTAAAAATGTGTTAAAGTGTACTGCATTAAATTTGTTATACAAATATACAAACTGATAAGTCCGAAAAAAATGTTCAGGACTTCAGGATGTTTCCACCTCAACGGAAAGAACTCATTTCGTGAAATAAACAAGTAAACGTGCACCGAAGTTTGGTAATAAAAAATTGCTTATTTTTTCTGTACTATTTTCAAGTATTCTTCAGCTAAAAAAAAAAGAATTAAATTCATACATCTTTGAAAACATTTGAAATGAATTAGTATCACAAAGCTTCACTTTTGTTGTGAATTGCTCAGAAACAATATTAATTTAATTAATTAATTAATCCCCAATTAATTATTCAAGTTACTTAAACTATCTAAGGCATGCACTTAAGTGTGGATAGAAATTAAAAAATAAAGGTCAACAATTGATAAAATGGTACTTAAAATACTTTTTTAACGTGAGCTCGATATTTCGGAGGACGTTTGTCATCTTTTTTAAAACTTGACTATGGCCTTATATTCTTAAGTTAATTTAACTTTGGAAATAAGGGACTTACATCATATATATATATATATATATATATATATATATATATATATATATATATATATATATATTGATAGAGAAATTCTGGGATTAATATCAGTCCGGAAAAAATATGTGTTATAAGATAACGTCTCAATAAAGAAAAAAAATAATAAGCTTATGAAATATGATAGACATCCATTGGCTATATATTTAATAGAATAAATGAGACGTTGGACGGGTGGCGTATAAGCCGATACATTTCGGACCGAGCCATCGAGCTCACTGATAGCCTGGGCTGACAGAGGTGTAACGTAGCTTACGGAGGCTATCGGGGCGACAAAAGACAGTGACGTGTGGCGTAGGATCGACTCTCGCTGAAAAGGAAGAGGAGCTAGAAGGTGAGGATTTCACAGCTGATTTGAGCCTGTCCCGGGCCCAGTTGAGATATTGCCTTTCCATCCAACCGTCCGAAAAATATACCTTACGACCTTATTTATTGCATCTTCGACCTCTTCAAATCCAAGCCTAAGACGTGAATACCGAATCGTGACGTATAATAAATAAAAAGAAACCTTTCATGTTAAACAAATAATTAATATTTATATATTAAACAAAAATAAATAGTCTTTTACGTAAAAAAATTAATTACGTTATGGACCGGCAATAATATTGAACAGAACATGACATTTCTTTTTTCAAATCTTCATTCGCACTTTTTTTTTTGTTGGATAACTCCGTACCCAAATTTCTTGCATACGAGGGGAAGAGGGAGAGGGATTATTCTAGAGGTACAACCAAACCTATTCTAAACAGAGTGGGAGGATCGAGTTTCGTTCTGTGGGTCCGCCACGAAATAAAGCTCAACCCCTCTCAGGCCGGATTCGAACCGGCGTCGCTAGGCACGAGGATGCTATAACGGGTAATGCTACAACACCTTCGGCCATTACCACTTCTTCATAAACATCTGTTGATTGTTGATTTTGTTGAACAATGGCATTTCAGGCTTGAGAAAAAATAGTATCCTGCAGCACATCTCCCTGGTCTTCTCATAGTACCGTCGAGGTAAATAGAAAACTCAGAAGGCCTTGACAGAGCATGTTCAAATGAGGGAAAAAAACGATACCGTGGATGAGGAAAAGGCTAAGAAAGGGATACCTAAAGTGTGAGGCGAATAAGCACCCAAGTCACTCTCGATAGGAGAGCTAAGGGATAATCCTTATGACATCTAAGGACGGTAACCACAAACTGAGAGACGAGTCACCAGACTTCGTGGAAGAAATACCTACGAAGGAATGAGCTTCCAGGCTACAAATGGGCAAATGAACATCCAGACTTTTATTTGAAATATAGAGAAATAGTAAGATTTCATGGTGCATAGGAATAAAGAAATAATCAGAATGAAAATATTAAAAAAAAAATACATAAAATACACCAATTACAGCTCACTCTGAGAAGTAAGGTAACAAAGCAAGTAAGAAATCTATAAAAAATGATTTCTCTATTTCTGAATAAAAAGCTAGTAGAAATACATTCACCATGATAAAATTGGCTATAATATGCACTTTTTTTTTATATTAAGGTAATATGAAATAAAAGTTGCATTTATAGGTACAATGAGTGAAAGTCTTACTTTTGAAGATAGGAAATTTATAAGTTTCCCGAACGTAGGTTAGATTTTGAGTGTTGAATATTTCCTTCTACTGTTGTTCACCCATTATTTCAACGTATAAAGTTGTTAATTTTGGATTGCGTAAGATGGCTGATGAAATTGCATCAGCAATGGAGCAGGAAATGGTGGAAGAACAGGCTATAAAGTGCCCAAGGCCTTCAGCAAAGAGGCAAAGGAAAGGATCTCCTGACGCCCGAGAAGAAACAGATAAAGAACGTGTAGACGATAGTCTTCTGCAAGATGCACGTAGAATCAAAGAAAACACCAGGGTCTACATGAACGCAACAGACAGGAACGTGAGTGCGAAGGTACAAAAGCACGTTAATGGGAAAATTCAGCAGTTAATAGATATAATGGAGACAATATATGATAAGAACTATGAAAAAACGTTTTTAGTACAACGTGTGGTAAAGGACACATTAGCTTCCTCTGAAATGTATGATATTATAGTAAATGCATTAGTGGAAAAAGCAGTACCTATGGTTATCGAGGGACTCAAGTCGGAAAGTAAAACCATACAAAGACCACTGTCAGAACCTCAGACATCTCGGGAGTTTCCATGCGTTAAAGAACAACCGCTATTAGCCGATGCCCACGCTATTATTGAGACCACGGAGAATGAAAGTTTCCAGGAAGTAAAGAAAAAGCAAAGAAGGAAAAAGGCTCTTCCACAAGTGGCCAAAGAGATCGAGGCCTCTAAACCAATAGCAGAGGAAAGTTTGACCAAGAAAAGGTCTACACATCAGACTACGATGGCCGATATTGTTAAAGGGCTTCCATTAAAACCGATGGATACTACAAGACCAACTTATGTTACCATCGCTTCTCAAGGTAAAAGTGCAGCTGACATCATCAACAATCTGCCTTCTCCAACTGAACTAGGAGTCAAGGCGAGAGTTGTACGGGCGACCAAAGCTGGCTCAGTTTTAGTTTGTGTAGATGAGGGTGCCCATGCGAAAAAAATAATTGAATGGCAAAAATTAAAAGAAGTTGGGATGGAGGCAAAACTAGCCTTAAAAAGAAAACCAAAAGTGGAGGTAAAAGGAGTTCCCCTTTCATGGAGTGCGGAAAATCTAGAAAGGGTGCTATGGGAAAGGTTGGCTGCAAAATCGGCCGTTATTTCTGAGAACCAATTAGGTAATATAAAGCCATTGTTCTCATCAATGGCTAGAAATAAAATTACCAATAATTGGGTGTTAGAAGTACATCCAATGGTAAGATATAATCTACTCAAGGAGGAAATAATTACAGGAGGTTGGTGGTCACTGACAATCTTAGATTACCCCGATGCTCCTCCCTGTCTAAGGTGTCAGGGATATGGACATACAAAAGCTACTTGTGAGGCAAATGGCATAGTATGCAAGTGGTGTGCGGCGAGTGGGCATATTGCTAAAAACTGTCCCGCAAAAGGAAATAAGACCGCACCTACATGCGTTAACTGCGTGAGGGAAGGTGTTCAAAAAAGTAAGGCTAAACACCAGGCAGGAAGTAGAGAATGCCCAGTGCACATCAAGAGATCTCAAGAATTAGTGAGGAGAACTCACTATGATTAGACTCAACATCCTGCAGTTGAATATGGGCCGCCGGCATATTGTGGCTGACGAGCTTCGCGCCATGGCACAACGCTACGATATCATGGCGGTCCAGGAACCTAGCTGCCGTGGGAACAGGGTTACGGGGTTTGGCCTCACGTCAAGAGTTATAGCCCTGAGCAGTGGAGAGAGGAGGCCCAGGGCTGCAATAGTGATTAATAATCCTAACCTTGACGTGATGGATCTGAGACAACACACCATGGCGGATTATGCATCTTGCTATGTTAAGTGGGGCAAGATTTCTTTCACATTGGTATCGGCATACCTACCTGTGAATAGTGATGTAGAAGAAAGCATATCCGCTATGGAGGCGATCATTAGAGAGATGAGGAATGTGATCATGTGCTCAGATACCAACTCCTGGAACACGGTCTGGGGGTCCAATATTACTGACAGGCGAGGCGCTAAAATGGGAAATTTCATAGGCAGAAATCACCTTGTCGTGATGAACGAACCCTCTGCCACCCCTACCTTCTCTGGAGGCATGGGGCAGAGTTGGATTGACGTCACGATCGCCACGCCTGCGCTTACGAGGTATATTGCTGATTGGACTCTCAGATCTGATACGAGTTCCGATCACGTTGCGATAGCAATTGGCCTGGTAAATGAGCCAGGATGTTCCCACGGTACTGATAAGGGTTTCGTCACTAAAATAAATGACTGGAGTGTCTTCAGGTCCTACCTGGAAGGAGTGATTGCAGACGAGGAGTGGGAAGCGGCAGAGATGGATGTAGTTGACAATCTGGACTACAAGGTGTCCAGGATTACCAACAACATTCGTGATGCTGCCGAACACTCCCTCAAGCACCGGAAGGCGAGGGTTCGACCTGTCCCATGGTGGACGCCAGCCTTAACTGTTCTAAAACGAGACCTCTACAAGGCCCGGCGGTCATATCAGAGGTGCAGATGCGAAGAGAGGCGCACTGTACTTCGCAATGAGTACAAGTCAAAAGCCAGGATATACCGAAACGAGGTTCGCTCACAAAAGCGGAAGTCTTGGGATGATTTCATCATTGAAGAGTCTTTGAAGAATCCCTGGGGTATTCCGTATAGGGTAGCATTGGGTAAGTTGTCCCCGATGCAGACTATTGCAGCCTTGCGGTATCATAATACTGAGGCAACCACCCTTGAAGAAACTGCCAATGTTTTCATTGAAGCAATATATCCCAGAGATGACCCAACCCAGGACAGCGAAAATGATGATTTTGTGAGACGCACCACGGTATATCCACCTGGTTCAGATTTGTGCCCACCATGGGACATTCACGATCTTCGTATTGCCGTGGATAAGCAGAAGACTAATCGTTCTCCAGGACTTGATGCAATAGATGCAGCGATCTTGAGGAACAGTATCACGTATATTGAAGACCGGCTGTTGAGTATTTTCAATGAATGTCTGGATATGGGATACTTTCCAAGAAGATGGAAGATCGCTGATTTGAGACTACTCTACAAGGGAGGAGATAGGGACAAACAACTCCCTAATTCATATAGACCTATATGTCTCCTCCCTGTGATTAGCAAGGTCCTGGAGAACCTCATGATGACTAGTTTACGGCCTGTTTTCGCTAGAGCAAGTCATCCACGGCAATATGGATCAACCAGAGGCAGAGGAACCGCTGATGCCCTGCTGAGAGTGCGCAGAGATGTTGAGGAGAGGGCGGAGCGGTATGTCATGTTGCTTCTTTTCGATATATCCTCCGCCTTTGACAGCGTATGGTGGCCTAGCGTGCTCCAGCAGCTGCAGAGGTATGATGCTCCTAGTAACTTATACACATTAGTAAGAAGTTATCTCCAGGATAGAAGTGTCAAGATTAGAGGCAATTACTACGAGGTAGAAGCTTCCATAGAGAGAGGTTGCCCTCAGGGATCGGTGCTTGGTCCTGCTCTATGGAAGCTCGTCTTTGATGAGTTACTGGGAGTGTTAGAGGAGGAGCGGTTTCCTGCCACTGCTTACGTTGACGACCTAGCTGCTGTGGTGGCCTCCAACAGCAGAGCTGGAGTCAAGAGAGAAGCAGAGCGATGCGCCAGCCTAGTCGCTAGATGGTGTGAGGGGAAGAAGATGAGGATGGCTGCTGCTAAGACTCAAGCCATCCTCCTTAAGGGAAAGACTGATAGGGCACACCCTATAACGATGTACATAGAAGGTCAGAGGATACGTCCAAGTGAGGTGGTAACCTACCTAGGGGTTAGGTTAGGTGTAGGCCTCAATATGACGCCTCATTTGGAATATCTGGCAGGTAGGGTGGCCCTAGCAATGAACGGTCTAAGTCGTGTGGGGGGCGCATTTTGGGGCCTTAGGTATCCAGCCACTATCACTATTTATAAGGGTGTTGTGGAGGGTATCCTTAGGTATGCGTCTCCCTTCTGGTTCCGAAACCTCACACTCAGACAAAGAAATAGGCTAGCATCGACTCAGAGAACTGCTCTGCTTCGGGTCACCAGAGCATATAGGTCTACGTCGCATGAAGCAGTGCAGGTCTTAGCGGGGGTGGTGCCTCTCGACCTCCTCCTGCGAGAAGAAGTGACCAGGTATGACTACAAGAAGGAGGGCTCAACTAGTCTATCGGAGAACCTACGGATGAGGATTATTGAAAACCCAAATAAATGGAAAAAGATTATCCGGGAGGAAACAATTGAAGATTGGAGCAGACGGTGGGTGACGACTCCGAAAGGCAGTACCTTAAGAAAATACTTTCCCACCGTTGAATCTCGGTTACAGGCGAAATGGGTCCTCCCGGACTATTGGGTTTCACAATTTCTCACGGGACATGGGGGTTTCAGAGCTAAACTCCATGGCTACGGACAGGATATAGATCCCCACTGCCCCGATTGTGGTGTTCCGGAGACTGTTGAGCATGTGGTCACGGCCTGCACTGCTTTCGACGAATTAAGAGCGAGGTTAATGAGAACCACGGGGATTTACGTCCTCACTGAGGAGGAGTTTCCTCAGTTGGTGAGTGAAGAAAACTTCCCGCGGTTCAAAGAGTTTATAAATGGCTGGAAGACGGCGGTGGGCCCAGCTCACTTCAACCTAGGTGCACGCAGAAGGAGAAGAGGACCAGTCCCAGGAAGACCTCCGGATTCGGGAAGCCAGGCCTAAAGGAGCCAGGAAAAAGTAGAAGAGCTAGCTGTGTGCACAGCTTAGAATTTTGTAAACTGATATTATGGCAGTAGTGTGTTATTATGCATTAATGCCTAACACCACACTACTGCATACACCCGTGTTGCCCTGGTGGCATGGGAGGGTGGAAAACAAATAAAAAAAAAAAAAAAAAAGGTACAATGAGTGAGCGAGCGCATGTGGCTGTGCCAGTTAGCGGGCAGGTGAACTAATTGGTCGCTACACTCTCTTAACTCAGAAGAGGAGATCTCTCATCCAGTTTCTTATCAGTCATCTCCTGAATGGCGTGTCATCCGTGGCCGTGTTTTTACGTTTATTGTTGTGTCCGTGTACAAAATTAAAATGTGTGCATTAATATGAAAAAGACAACAAAGTGAAATTATGAGGTTATGTGGTAGTTTAAAGTCGGTATGTAAAGTTTTGTTGTTTTCGTAAGAGGAATTTACTAAAGAGGGATAAGCAAATTTGGTTGACAGCTTAAGCAGCGTATAAATTCTCAGCATAGAGGTACAGGATTTTGCTAGAAAATAAGTTTGAATTTCATAGGCTCATCACCAATGTTTATGTTTTTTATTTCAGATTGAAGAGAACCGTTTATAGAAGAGAAAGCAGAATTTTTTTTTCCTCTCCGTTTACAAATACAAAGTAGAGGCTCCGTTAACAAGAACCAGAGAGTTCTGAACCCTTTCCTATTCCAGCTTTCTTTTTCTTGTGATTTTTCATCTTACCTTTTTCCCTTTTACGTCAAAACTGAGGCTTTTAATGTGAATATAGTAGCGGAGTTTGTAAAAGAGGAGAACTCGGGGGGGCTTTTCATGCATATTTATTTCCGAGCCATTGAGAACTAACTGAGAAGAGGGAGGAAGGGGGGGGGGGACCGCAAGGAACCGCCGGGTTCGTTATATCAAAGTTACGGTGA